AAATGTCATTCACCCTCCATTTTGCTTTCCTGTAACCTGCAAAATCAATACCCCAAATGACCACAGGTATAAAGGATTCTTTTCTGAGTATGTATACCTAGCTGAATAAGTGCAGTAAGTATGAAGTGAGTCCTGCCTCCATTGCACAAATAAGGGACTTTACATATATGTAAATACAGTGGCTAAACTGGCTAGGTACAGCAGCAGATCTGCCCTTCAGTTACAGATGCTATCTTTGCTGTGGGGAAAGGAATTTGTTTTCTGAGCTTTTCATGCAGCTATCTTGATAAGTGAGCACTGAATACTTTAGAAAAATATGCATGTGTGTGTAATAGGGGAAGGCAAAGGAAAAAAAGAAAATGAAACACAACACCAAATTTACAAGAAAAAAAAAAGAACAGCTAAATACCACATGGTTAGAGTTAGGAAAAAGTTTCAAGGTAAAATAACATACTGAAATTTTAAAGACAAATTCAGTAATTTGTTGTGTCTCAACTTGAGCAATTTAAAACAGGCATAATTTTTAAGGACAACTCAAGCACAGCATCCCCCTTAGGACCCAAAAGTGCTTGCAATCACTCATGTTACATTTAACAGACAAGTTGCAGAAATAAAACTGCTTGTTATTTGCATTCTTTTCCTTTGGAAGGGGAGGGAGACAGGAATTATAAATATTTTACCTGCTTGAAAGCTCATGGTTTGTTGCTTTTCTTTTAAGCAAATCCTAGCTTATCTCTTTGAAAATTAAAAAGAACAGTGAAATGATAAAAGGAAGAAGTGGTGATGTACTTGGAGTATACAAGAGATAAAAGTCGACAGAGAGAAAGGAATAAAACCTATTGAAAGCAGGAGCTGGAAAAAGTAGGCAGAAAAAAGCACAGAAGCACTAATATGAAGAAACAAAGATTACAAAGGCACAGCTCAATGCCAAAAGCTATCCAGGTCAAAAGGTGTGACATATGTTTGCTTTTGGAAACCTAAGATTTGTTGATTTGGAGAAATTTATTTCTCCCCTGAAGAGTATTCCAAAGTACATGAGATAAAGCTCTGGATGAATGGATGTCAAGAGTAAAATAAAAGGAACGGAGGGGAAAATCACGTTGGAGAAACAAATGAAGTCAAAGGATAAGGGACAACTGTTTATGTTAGCATGATGTTTTCAAGGAATTAGCTCTCCAGGAATAATCTCTTTCCTATTTCCCCTCTTCACTGTGTGCAACCAGGGAATGACCTGGACCATGAGTACCTATTTTCCAGTTTCCAAAACCAAAAGGAACAAAACAATTTATTTCAATTAAAAAAAAAAAAGACCAAAGAATTCCAAGAACATACAGGGTATCTTCCTCTTCAATGACAGTTGGACCTTATAGTTCAGACACATAAGGCACATGCCCGTTTCAAAACCACTTTGTTCCACGTGGACACAAAGAACCGAAAGACATTTCTGCCTTATTCAATAAACAGCTGGTTAATGAGAAGCATCGCAACCAAATAAACCAATAATGGCAATGACACTTAACAACTCAGGATGTTATCAACTGATCAATAAATAGCAACTTCACAGCACTAGGAATAATGCAATTAGAAACTGCTTCAAAGTAACACTCTTTAACAAAAACTCCCCACTTTTTCTAACATTGACAATCTTCTGCAGTTGCAACATCACTAACATACTGAACACCGTTCTCTTAGTCTTTAGGTTTGGGTTTTAATTAGCCTTCAGAGGATGAGTAATAATTTTTCAATGCGAGTGCTTTCTAAAGACCAAAATCTATCTTATAATTATAAAAATAGAATACCATTGCCACCCTCTACTTTGATTTTCCTTAAAAGGAGAGTGCAAGTGATACAAGAATGACTCAAGATCAGTACATAGGAGAATTTCTACAGTTATATTATATAAAGCCCAAGATTCTTCCCTGCTTCAAGACTGCCAGTTAGAATAAGCACCAACTATATATGAAAATGCTGTAGCTTGACTAAAAATGTTGTCAATCACATATGGTTACACTGCAAATAATCTCAAAGACCTGACAGAAGTTGCAGAATTCAACTCTGGTAGAGCACGTAACTCACAGTAGTAATGAAATCAGAAGGTGATGAACAGCCAGCCGCTCAGCCTGCTTTAGCAGTTCTGAATCATGCAGCTGCAGAGAAAATGTCTCTCTGAAGGATCAAAAAGTGTTAAAACATACAAATAAACTGTAAATAGTGGTTTGATAAATCAGTTCTACAATCATGACCATAAAACATTACAGTTTCGATCCTACATTTACACTTGCGTTCAAAGGCTGTTCTGAAGATGACGAGTCTGCACACATGCAAGTGTCAGCCCACATAGAAAAGCTTTACAAAACTAGGCAAACAGAATACAGTAGCACCCAGTCCTGATGCAATACTGTCAGGTTACACCTTTAATACCCGTTCAAAACCAGGAAAGTAAACACTCTTGCACTGTAGATACCATAACTGTGTTATTTCAACTACTCACATGATATTCAAGCTTCATAATGTCTGCAGAAGATTTACAATTAATACATCCCTCTAAAGTAATCTGAAGCCCACAAATGACAACTCATCTGCTGAGCTCACATATGCATTTAGCCCCTGGTTACCTGCTGAGCATTTATACCTTCTTTACTGCTACCAGTGTTGTTAAGATGATCTGCATTTAACAGGTACAATTTTGGGGTTGTTAACGTCACTATCTTCTTGCTTGAAGACACCAAGTAATGAACGACCTTTGTTTTTCAACTGTATCACTTAGCAAAGCAAACGTAATTCCTGTAGGCAGCACTGAACCTATGAGTTATAAATAATAGCTCCTATTCCAGAAAAAAAGTAATGTGAAGATTTTTTCCCTGCCACAAATCAAACTACCATAATTTAAAACAGGTAAAGCAACACTAACCCTTTAAGAATAATTCAATTATTGTTATATAAAGTGTTTTAGAAGTATAAACATCTTTGTACTTGGTGCTTAAATAAAAATAAGTAAATAAAAGTCAAACTGTATTGCTCATATCAAATGCCTAATTCTTTATTGCCCTACATAGTTAATTTAACCACTCCAACATATGTGCAAAAATCAGTATATCTGATTTGCTGTCACTGTATGTTCACTTTACATAGATGAAAAGGACTCTTGAAAATTCAGAGCAACAGAGAAAAAAGCCCTAGAAGGACAACACAAGCTCGCTTAAAAAAAATACAAACCAAACCAAAGCAAACATAGCTTAAACTAAGACCAAACTCATATACAAGCTATCATCACAAACAGAAACTAATGCTGTTACCTAGTGGTGGAACGCTAGGTACATGCAAAATTGTACGGCTCTTTACTTTTTTCTCCTCACTTGGAACTTTCATCTACAAGCTATTAAACGATGTCAAGAGAACAAAAACAGGCCTAATTAATAAACTAATGAAAGATACCTTTTTTCTTGCATTCAGTTCTGCGACAAAAGGTCAGTATTTTTGCACCTGCCAGTTTTGATTCTCAGAGTAATTAACACATAAGAAGCTACATCATTTCCTGGATATCCCAAACCTGTTGTTTTACACTCCTCAGGCAACATCAGCAAGAGCTTTTATACCTTCAACGTTAATCCTCAACATTAGTTTTTCACAGAGTATGATAACCCAAACTGTATCATGCACTCCTCAGCATCTTATCAGATCTCATTTTCAATTATACAAACCTGTATTAGGTGAATTCAGTCAGCATTCTCCATAACACCTAATTAAAAATGTTTATTTTGCTTTCAGTCAGAAAATAAATAACTAGAGGAGGAGAAGGAAGATATGAAGACTTTAACATCACTTACTCAAATGCAAAGAAGAGTCCACTGGTGACCAAGATGAGAACAAGAGTCAGGTAGAAAACTCCAGTCTGTCGAGCCATCATGATCCTCCCATTGCAGAAGAATTTGTTTCTTCCAGGAAAAACCTCCCATTTTCTCTTGGGAACTGATTTCTTTTTCTTATGGGGAGACTCCATGGGAGACGAAGAACTGTGTGTGCTGATCTGACTGTATTCACAGTCTTTCATGGGCCCACTACCACCTCCAGGAGTCATCAAGAAAGAGTAAAATGTGGGGAGAACCCCACCAAAAATATATACAATATATATATGTGCAAATATTCTTGTGACCAAGACAGCCCTCTCCACGAGCCCCAGTTAATAAAAAATGCAAATAAAATGATGAAAAGTCTGCTACCAGACTAGCAATAGGTGTATCATGCAAACACCAGTTAACTCTTCAGAAACCAAAGCTGTCATATCAGAAACGCTTGAGAGGGATCCTTCCTTCCTCCACCAGTTACAAAACAACCATGTAGGACAATCCTTTTCAAAACAACTTATCACAAAACAAAACAAAGAGGAAAAAAAGCAATTATAAAGCAATTAGGCTCCAAAAAAATTAGTCTTTTTTTTTCCAAGTTTATTTTCAAATGGGAGGATTTTTTTATCCTTCCCACGCACACCCTGAGAGCTCTCTCCGAGGGTCAGAAGGTTGGTCAAGGCAAGGTTTAGCAATCGAGTCTATCATTCATAGAGATCTCTTATAATCCTCCTTTGCGCAGCAGATTTCACTGCTAAAAATGACCATTCCTAAGACGTTCCCTCGAGAGATACGCGTAACAAATCATTAAGGAGGAGAAGACAAAAAAAAAAAAAAAACAAAACAAAAAAAACCCACTCAAGTAAGGAACCAGGCTGCAACTCCAGCTCCGAGGAACACTTCAAGCTCTCCTCCTCCTGAAGCCGCAGTCCAGCGGGAAGCGGCCGCCTCTCCGCGCAGACCCGGGGGCGCAGGGCTCCCCTGTCACTACTCCATAGAAAGGGATTCTCCCGAGCCCGCGGCAGCCCGGGGCAGGGCCAGTCGCCGACGGACACCAGCGCCTCGGCAGCAGGTCCTCCTCATCCTCCCTCCCCGCCGCCGCCGCGCTGCTCAATCCGCGCCTCCCCCTACACAACAGGTCCCCGCCGCCGCCTCATGCTGCCCAGCGCCTCGGCCCCGCGGCAGGGAGGTTGGGAGACAGGGGACAGGGAGGCTTCGCCGCCAGTGGGAGATCTCCGCCAAGACTTCTCGCTCCCCGCACCATCCTCCCCGCCCGGCTCAGCGCCGCCGCGGGCCCTCGCACCCCGCCCCGCCGCAGGCTCTCGCCCACGGCCCGCGGCGGTGCTGGGCCCCCCCCCACATCCCGCCCCCTCCCCCGGCGCCCAGGAGCGGCTCCCGCCGGCGTCCCTGGCTCCGCTAGGCTTTGGCCCCGCAGCGAGGTGAGAAAAACGCCCGGCCTCCCCCTCCGCAAACCAGAGAGCGGCGACTTTCTCTCCACCTTTCTTTAGGAGCCTCTATCCAGGTTTCCCCCCAGCAGCCAGACCCAGAAGCAGCAGCTGCCACCACCTCTTCATTTTCAGGGGGAGGCGGTAACCACCGCAGCGCCGGCCGCCCGCCCGCGGGAGGAGCCGGTGAGGGACGGGACCACACAGGCGCGCACCCTCCGCCGCCCCCGCCGGCCGCTCGGTCACTCAGTCGCTTCCCGGCGAAAGGGTAGCAGGTCCCCGGCAACAGCCGACCCGGCCCGGCCCCCTCTCCCCGGCCACTGGAGCGCGGCGACAGCGCTAACTTCTCCCCATCGCCGCCCCCCCAGGCAGCCGCCCGCCGGGCAGCGGGTGCCCGCGCTGGAGCTCCGCTTCTGCCGCCGCCTCCCGCTCAGCCCTCGCCGCCCCCAACCCCACACTCCGCCGAGCCGCAAGCGGCGTGTGCCGCCAGCCGTGGGCGGCGACGGCCCGATCCTGCCCCGCTTTCGCTGCCGAGGGCAGGCGACTCTCGCAGCCGAGTCCCGCGGGCGACCGCTGGGCACGGAGAGGCCCCACCCACGCGGCCCGACCTAGCGGGACCAGCCCCCGCCCCGTGCGGGCTCAGACACGGCACTCAGGAGCACACCCCTCTACCCGCCGGGACTTGTAGTTTTGCTCAGTTGTAGTTTCGCAGCCGGAGGCGGGACGGCGTCGAGCGGGACTACAAGCCCCAGCAGGCTTTGCGAGCCGTCCCGGTGGGGGGGCGGGGCGAGGCCGCCCCGCCAGCTGTCGGAGGGTGGTTCCTCCGTCCGGGCCGGCCGTGCCCCGGGCCCCGAACGGCCCCGCACGCCCCGGGCAGCCACGCTTGCACCTCCGCCCTCCTCCACCCTCCCCCGCGACCGAGGGTCATGTCCGGGCTTGTGTTTCAGTCAGGCCGGAGGGCCGGGGCTGGAACCCGCCGCTCCCGCGTGCTCCGGGTCCCCTGCGTAGCCAGAGGTCGTTCCCGTCCCGCCCGCCCGAAGTGCGCGCTTGCACCGCTGCTGGGCCAGCAGGCGGCTGTCCCCGCTGTCGCTCGTGAATGCCAGTGTTTCACTGCTCCATGGGTGCCATTCACATGCTCCATTATGCTATTCTGCTGGAAGACCAAGGCTCGGCCAACGACGCTGACATGTTTGTACAGACCCTCGCTCTCTCCTGACTTCACGTCCCAGAAGGTACTGCTCATCCCAGAAAGGGACGAGCCATGAAGGAAAAGCCTTTCCATAAATGCAATCTTGCACCAAGCCCTTCTCACACTAGCGCTGGTGGCAGGAGTGCCTGCAGAAAGGCCAGGGAGGCTTCCCACAGCTAAGGCAGAACCAGTCTCAAAGTTGCTTGATGTTGTTTCTGCGTGGTATGTTCTTCATGTGCATCCAAAGAAGAGCTATGAAGCTGGTGAAGGGTCTGGAGCATAAGTCTTAGGAGCAGCTGAGGAAGCTGGGAGTGTTTAGCCTGGAGAAAAGGAGGCTTAGGGAAGACCTTATCACTCCCTACAACTACCTGTAAGGAGGGTGTAGCCAGGTAGAGGTTGGTCTGTTCTCCTAAATAACAAGCAATAGAACAAAGGAAATGTCTTGAAGTTGTGCTAGGGAAGCTTTAGATTGCATATTAGGAAAAATTTCTTCACTGAAAGGGTAGTCAAGTGCTGGAACAGGCTGCCCAGGAAAGTGGTGGAGTCACCATCTCTGGAGGTATTTAAAAGACGTGGATGTGGTTTAGTGGTGGATTTGGCACTTACAGGTTTACAGTTAATTCTATGATCTTAAAAGTCTTTTCCAACCCAAGTGATTCTATAATTTTATGATCTGCTAGAGGTAAGCAGGCATGCACAGTGCTAAAAGACTTTCATTTTAACACATCCTTTAAAGTTTTGCAAGTTACTAGCAGAGCTGTGTAAACTGCAGAGACTGGACTAGTCTGGGATATGCGGTAGGAATCAACACAGTTCAGAAAACTCAAAAGCACACTGAACAAACTTCTGTAGAAAGCTGAGATAAAAAGTTGATTCGAACCAGCCTGCATCTCTCATGGTTGAATGTTGTCCTAGGAGAGACAGCAAAAACACCATGTGAGGATGCAGGTAAGTGCTCGCACATAGGCAATGTGTTTTCTGTTTTCATAATTCTGTTTTGAATTTTGGAATGGAATATTTATCTCTTTAATTTAATACAAGCTAATTCTTTATCCATAAACTGTGTGTGATAACAAAGGAACCATGGAACAGATTGACCAGCACTTGATAACTTCCCCTTTCTAGGAGGAAATTACTTTGGTAACCAAATTACATGGAGTAGCCTGGTAGACACTTTCTTGGTGATTATATGATCCATTTTATTGATACACAAAAATAATTTTGAAATGTTAATGACACATGGGAAAAATATGGAGGGGTGTCTCCCTCTGAAAGGTGTAAAGGAGTAGTCCTATGGTAGCAGGATATAAAACCAGTTTCTGATATCATCTCTCATGCAAATGCATTGGAATCCTTTTTCCACATGTGTTGCTGCCTTATTCCTTTCCATCTCCACCTCCTGTTATAGTGCCCATTGTCGACAGTTTGCCTGCTATCTTATAACTTGGATATCACAGCATTTTTTATTCTTTGAAATGGTCTTTATAAACAGCTAATAATTTTTCTTTCTTAATGAATACAGCATCTATGGATGCCAGCAGAAGGCTGCTGACAAAATCTTTTTTATTCACTGACAAGCACCTTTAGTCTTCCTCAAGTTTTTATTAGCATATTGCTGGAGATCTGTCTTCAGTGCTTTGACAATATTAATGACTGTCATGTCAAATGGCACTATTCTCTCCTGAGATTATGGAATATTTTAGACATTCACAAACAGAGCAAACGGTTTATGCAAAAATGTCATTGTTGGCTTATCTTCACAGGTAGCACTCAGGCTAATTTCAGAAACACTCTTCAAAAGCAAAACACTTGTAAACAATACCAGCACCTCCTTCAAGCTGCTGTCTCATGCCACAATCTTTCTCTTAGGTTTTAACACGTTATATAATTGAGAAGTGAACTTCAGGCATATTAACTGAGAGAAATACATAAAGAAATTTGAGGAGTGCGTGGAAAAATAATTCTAAAAGTCAAACTCAGAGAACAAACACACTTTTATTTTCAATAATGAGTCTACTTTGATTCTAACAGGATTGTCCAGTGCCACACATTGTACTTTTCACATGACAGCCTGTTCTAGTCGCTAATCGGTACTAGTATTGCATTGGAATTTCAAGCATTATTCGTATCCTTTTGCAAACGTTACAAACACACTACCAACACCTATTTGAAGTTTTTTTCAAAACAATTTGAAAACTCCCCTATAAAAAGGACATTAGACAGCTAATATTTCACACAATTCAGCGTTATTCTTGAAAGCATTTATTATTGTTTATTCACAGTAATGAAAATTGGTTTGAGGTGCTGAATAGTTTAAATCTTACAGTAGGTAGGACAAATATTCTCTCTTCATAAAACTTTGTCGGATCTTGTGTTATGGTATGTACTCTTCTGACTTCTTAATTTTGACTCAGGTTAATCTCATGCAATAGATGAATATGATGCAGCAATATTACTTGGCTTAAAAAAAAAATCTAAGACAAACTATCTTTTTGTTAGGCAAATGCTAACAAAAGAACTGTTGCCACTGAAAATTGCTGTTTCTTACCCTGTCTGCAGTGTGGAGGTATCATAAGAGCAAGTCTTAGAGAACAAGGAAGCTAATTTGCTGTGATGAAATGTCACCTTACCTATATAGAACATCTGTTACCATGCTTCATGTCAGAATCTGCTTGAATATGTTGGAAGCAGTATCAAGCAAAGTATTTAAGTGATTAAATAAACACAAACTAGCAAACTCTAGCATTCTGTATGTAAGATATCTGTACTTCATGTGTCCAACACTGCTAAATAAAATGCTCTTTGTTTTCAATCAAAAATGGGGGATGAAGTGACCAATATTGAACTGAAAGTTCTTCTAATATTCTTACAGCTGGAAAGAAAGTTAGGCACTGCTGTGGACACATTTTCTAGACACATTTTACACATCTTTCACTATGAATTTTGAAAAATAAATGAAAAAGAAATCAAACAATAATACCATTGTCATGCAAGACACTGAAAGTAGCCTTGCACATCCAAACTTGCTGAATGCTAGTGTATAAAACATGCCAGTTTAAAATGTCAAGAGTATGTAATGGTGAGAGTTTTCCCAACCAAATATTTTTCTCCTTTTTCTGTGCTGTTTTACGTTTCGCTGCTATCATTTTAGTCTTACCAACTGTTCATTTTGTGAAAGTACTTAGTTTCCTTTAAAAAGCTGTTGTGTAAACTAAAAATATTATATTTCATAAGAGTTGGCAGGAAGAGAGAGTGAGAATGCACATCATAATCACTCTCTAAGGAATAAAACAAAAAATAGAGTTTTTCATTACAACAATGTGATTGACTTAAGCAGGTCCAAAAAGCTTTTAAGTATCTCTTAAGTCTTGCTTTCAAAAGACTGAGATGAGTAGTCATTTATTGTACAGCCTTCTAACAAAGTGTAACATATATTACTTCTCTGCAGTTGGTGAGTTAAGCAGACAAGATGAGGTAAGAAAGCTTTTTCATGGTAAATTCCAGAGACCAAAATCAAATTTGTATTTACATTTATCCACTGCGTGTTAAAACCATATATCTTGATCAAGGTGGCTTTTTTTTCTGTTTTGAAGCATTAGAAACACAATTGTTTATAATTTAAAAATCTGAAATGGCTTAATCATATAGAGTCTGGAATATTTTGGTAGTTTTTCGACTTCTTACTTTGGCCTCTTATCATATAACTTCATTGCTTTGGATAGAAATCAGAATCTATGGACATTTTAATTTATTCCAGCAGAATAAAGTGAGAATTCTCCTTAAAAATGCAATTAAAATCCAGAAATTTTCAGAATTGGCCATGCTTTCCTGATCAATGGCTGATTCCAAACACGAAGGGAGACTGCCTCAAAATCTTACAATTTAAACTGAAAAAATAAAGATGGGCATTGTGCAATGTTATCAGTGTGGTATTGTAAGCCTATTGAACATTTTGTCTTGCTCTAATTTGAGTGAAGGAAAGAAAAAAAGTCTTTGATTCTGGGAAGCTGACACAGAACATGAGCCAGCCAAAAGAAAGGACCAGGAAAGTACAGTTATATGAGGAAAATCCTCACATTTTCCAGTGTTACCAGTCACATTGAAAGTTCCCTCACTAGAGCCATGAAATAATTTTCTGCAGTTCTACATCATGTATTAGTAGAGTACACTGCACGAACAGTGGAGTGAATTACAGTTTTTTTGATGCTTTGCTTCCCTGTGAAGAACCTTGCATTGATCATTGCTTGATGCAGAACAGCATAACTTAATTGGTCGGTACTATACAGAGATTTCTGTATACTTTAGTGAAGGTCAGGTATTCCCTTTATTAATTCTTGATTAATATCATTCATACAGCTTTATCTTAATCCCCATTCATCAAAGCAGTTGTTTTTCTTTCGTGAACTTCCTCTTTAAAACTACT